GAAAATTTGTCATATTTCAATATTTTATGTTATTTTTAAAATAGAAAATTGAATGATGCAAATTTATGAAAACCACAACTCCATGTAATTAAGTTTGCAACCTATGTAAATAAGACAAGTGTACTTTATAACAAAATAGTAGTAATTGATTTGGGATGAAGTAACATGTGACAGATGGAAAATAATAGTAATTAATTTGGGATGAAAAATATGTGACAGATGGGAAAAATATGCGCCCTTACTAGCAGTAGATTTCAACACAGAGGGCCTGCATATGACTAGAAACCCATCATTTTTGGGCCAGGATACATGCCCGTCATGCACGAACTTCTACTGCTAGTAGGGCCCACAAGGCAGAGAGGTATCAATCAGATGTTGTTTGGGTGAGAGAGGCTTGTGCTAAGCTACTGGCAGCCGAGTATATAAGCTGGTGCGACCACCTCTTGCTTGGCGAGGTGGGACTAAACTCTCACCACCGGATGCTCTGCCCTAGTGCGCCCATGCGATAGGCCAGATTAGATGGGCTTTCACAGGCCGGCCTAACCCGCGTGTTGGACCATGCGTGGGTATAGATGGCTAGGATGGCCCATGGTTTTCCTTTTGTTTACATAAAATTTACCTGACCCCTCAAAAAATAACATATAAATTACCTACTTTTTAATTACTCCCTATGAATTCAAAAGGTATTTTTATCGAACACAACTTTTTAAATATTTATATTTTCTTTTCTTATAAATAAGTGACATTTTCAAAATTCTAATAAGTAGGATAATATAACTTTATTAAAAAATATAGTACATCTTATTTCAAATTCTTTTTTGGCACACACAATTTTTATCTAGTATTACATTACTCTTCTAGATTTACATTTTATTTCCTTCACACTTTGATGATGGAATATTTGCTCTATTATTGCAAGAGTTGTTGAAATGATGGAATATTTGATCTTTTTGCTTATTCAAATGATGCATTGATGGAATGTGTGAGGATGAAGAATTATCAATAACTTTACTAAACCCCATGTACCATAATTCATGACACAGCTAATTTGGAACATTGGCAGATTCTTAATTTGGTAGGATTTGCACATGGGCACAACATGTTGCACTTGCCCACAGCATGGATAAGTGTTGCAGCATGTGTGAAGCAACACTGAAGCAGCATTTGTGATCATTGCACCATCGGAACTCGTAAACTACACATTGAAACAACATCTAAACAGAAGGTAGCATTCACCACAAATAAATTTAAGGCCACACAAATATAGATAGCATTCTAGATTACCACCACAAGTACCATCCAGTTCACAACAGATCCAGTTCAGACACATACTACGTTACATTAATATATATACTAGATTAGTAGAGCTAGTTCCCAATAGTGCACACCCAGATGCAGCTTTCCAAAAGTAAAACATCATCAAATCTACTGATGATGAGTAGGGCTTCCAGCTTCTGATGACCGGCATGATGTAGGGCAACCACACTGGATACAAGGCCTTCGCGAGGGCAGCATGCTGCGCCCTGGTCTTAGGGTCGTCCCTGCTGACCGATGAAGCCTGTGCATGATCCAAAAGATGCTCATAGAGCCCATCCTTGGGCTTTGGCTTCATGCAGTAGGGGCATATGAACTTCTTCCCCTTGTAGTAGCAAGAAAGACCCTTGTCCCTGATCTTCTGCACCTCCTTCTCTATGGATGATTCGATGTTGGTGTGGTCCACCTCATCTCCAGATTCATAATGCACACATGAATGAATTCCATTATTACTTATATAAAACTAGTGCCGATAATACAATATAGGCTTCAGCCTACCATACAATTGTGCTATAAATGGACTACTATATATGTATAGGCCTTCAGCCATGCAAGCAAATCACTTAAGGCATCAGGTTCATATACATGCCAGAGTTGTGGATGAAGCAAACATCATCTGACCTTAATTACCACATGTCACCCAACTAGCTAGTTGGTCTTAGTCCTTTGCTTCCTCTACCATCTGGCAGGACAGAGAAGATAGAAACCTCACAGGTTCCCAAATGAAACTAGATAGCAGAAACACGTCGTATGGACAGGATTGTCTAGGTTTTGAGCCCAGCCTCTGTTTACATCATAGACTCTATAGTCTATAATTACATCCATGATTACAAATTTAAGTTAATGAACCTATACTTTAAATACAAATCTTAATTTACACTACTATCTAAGTTTTGAGCCCAGCCTCTATTTCCATCTTACATTCTCAACTCTACATAATTACATCCATGATTTGAAATTTATACCTAATAAACCTATATTGTAAAATAAAACTCTTAATTTACATTAGTGTCTAAGTTTTGAGCCCACCCTCTGTTTCCATCATATATTCTCCACTGTATATGACAACATGTCATATGAACTAAATGAACAATCTAAATTTTCAGGGTGGGCTTACCTCAAAGACTTCGTCGTCGCCATAGCCTTCGGCATATGGGTCTTTGAAGTCAGTCATGTCCAGCTTCCTCTTCTTCTCCGCAGAACCATCCACCTCACTATAAAATTACACTCATTAGTACTAGTTACACAAGCCAACTGCAAATTTTAATATGCACACATGACACATTGATCAACCTATCCTAACTATGATCATACTTGCATTTTCCATTTCCATGCACACAATCTGAACAACATAGCTAATATAACTGCATATTCTGGAAAACTTTCTAATTACAGGAAACCTGCATAAAAGAATAATTTAAATGTACCTAAGCATTTTTTGGGATAATGCAGCAAAGCTCCTACATATATTAACATAATGCAGTAGTTACTTAGATACCACTTCAACTATAAATGCATACATCTCCAACTAACATCTAAAATTGCATTACTTACCTAAACAACAAAAAGTTATACTATAGATGAATCAAGTATCATCTAAATCAATTCATAGGCACATCAAAATTAATGCATTCCATTTGGGCATATGACATACAAAACTCCAATCTGTGCAACATTGAACCACAGATCTAATATAATAATCATATATGTTTGCAGCATTGAACCACAGATCTAATAATCATATTTGGTCTATCTGTTCTTAAATTCCCTCATAAATAAGGTGTTAAACCTCATACTAACTAAAATCTAAGAAGCAAAATTTCAACTACTAATCTAATAAGCATCTGAAAAAAACCATCCCTCAATCCGACTACTTCTAACCTAATCTAATAATCATATGTGCTCCACCATTCTTGCCAGAATCATATACAGAAATGAGAAAACCCTAATGCTGAGAAAACCCTCCATCCAACTAATCTAACCCAAGAAACTTTTGGCCAAACCCTAGAATCTAAAAACTACAACGAAAATGGATAATGAATTACCTTCTGCTCCACCTGCTCCTCGCTAGAGCCGGCGTCCACCTTCTCCACCTTGTGCGCCTCGCTAGAGCACGCCTCCACCTTCTCCACCTTTTGCGCCTCGCCGGAGCTCGCCAGAGCGGGCGCATCTGGCTGGACTGCGCCGCTCCTGCCCGCCTCCACCTTCTCCAGATCTGCAGCATCTGCTGCACCGCCTTGGACGCCGGCACCTCCCTTCACCGCTGCGGGCGCCGCGACCTGCTACACCTGCGCCACCAGATTTGCGCCCCAATCGGGGCGCTCGCTTCCTGCGTCCTCCATGGTGATGGAGGTGATGGAGAGGATGCGGTGGGGGAGAGGGAGACAACAAGGCGGACGAGGAGAGGGAGAGGAGAGGGAGACGATGCGGCGGGGGAAATGGTGGGCGATGCGGCCAGAGGTGGTTCCCCTCCTCATTTATATGATGGGACAGTTTTGACATGTTCCCATGGACACGTGCTGCCCCACGCGCGGGCGGTTGCATGCGAAAACGAAACACCCGGGCGTATACGAATACGACCATACGGTCGGGCATATGAACTAATCGGGTCGTACGGGCCCCACAGGACTCCTCGACAGCTATACACACGGGCAAAAAAGACGATCGTGCCCCTCGTTTCGAACCGTTTTTGGTTAATCCTGGCTGTCCTTGTGTTTCTCCCCCTTGCGTTCAGCCCAGGGGGGGTGCACCGGAGCAGAAACGAGTGTTCACTAGTTTGGCTAATAAGAATAGTCTCAATGCCATATACAATAAGAACTCACACTCAAGGATGTCATCTACCATCTCGTCGGCGTCGGAGACATGGAAAAGATGGCACATGAGCACGAGAAGGCAAGGGAAGCTACGCGAAGGGGCTCTCTCTAGGTCAGAGGAGCCGTGGGAGGCGATGCGGACGACCATAGGACCTCCTCGCCGACAAACCGAGCCATGACTAGGGTTCACCGTGGGGCATGTTCGGAGGTGGAAGTCAGCATGATGACATGGAGTCGTAGTGGCGGGTCCCGTTCGGTAGTTGGCAGTGCTGATTAATAGTTTGAAAGTGCATCCCCAAGATACCCTATTGGTTTCGATGATTTATGACAAAACCATTTTAGAGGACTAATGATTTCAATAAGCTTGTTTTAGAGACTATGACTAATTTTCGTATGCCGTCCTTGATAGGTGGAACATCAATGATGATGTTACTGTTACATTTTTCGTTCAAACAAGTTACAGGGAGCTACCACATTGCCACCTCAAAAGAAGTAATACTGGTTCCTAGCTAGTAGCCACACACATGGAGCGACTCACGCAGCTCCAACCAATTAAAGTTTCGTGAATCTTCCATGGCTATTCATTTGGCCTCGCTCGACGTCACCCGGCTCTGGTGACCACTTATGTCCCGGATGGATGTCGCCGGCCACACGCCCCTCGACGACGACGAGATGAGCAGCGTGTGATCCTCGTCGCCCCGCCCATCCAAGCGAAGATAAGACGCCCACTCCCTTCCCTCCACATGGCACCCGCCCTCCAATCCCTTACTTATTCCCGCCCCCCTCACTCCTCCATCCCCTAGCTCGCTCGCCTATCCTCTCCACCTCCTCAGCCACACCTAGAGCATCTTAGCTCCGGCTAGGTAGCTAGCAATGGCCGCCGCACTGAGCCTCCGCGCGCCCTTCTCCCTGCGCGCCGTGGCGCCACCGGCGCCCCGCGTGGCCCTCGCGCCCGCGGCCCTCAGCCTCGCCGCCGCCAAGCAGGTGCGGGGAGCCAGGCTCCGCGCCCAGGCGACGTACAAGGTGAAGCTGGTGACGCCCGAGGGCGAGGTGGAGCTGGAGGTCCCCGATGACGTCTACATCCTCGACCAGGCCGAGGAGGAGGGGATCGACCTGCCCTACTCCTGCCGCGCCGGCTCCTGCTCCTCCTGCGCCGGCAAGTTGGTGTCCGGCGAGATCGACCAGTCCGACCAGAGCTTCCTCGACGACGACCAGATGGAGGCAGGGTGGGTGCTCACCTGCCACGCCTACCCCAAGTCCGACATCGTCATCGAGACCCACAAGGAGGAGGAGCTCACCGCATAAGCTGCTTTACCTATCTCTCTTTGCAAGATAATATCACGGACCCTGAGACCTGTGTAAACCCTGAGAGCTGATTTCATGCATGCACGGACATTGCCAGATACACCGAATTGTTTGTGCTCGAATGAATTGCTCGATGCATGGTTTGCTCAAGTAATAATGTCTTCGAATTACTACCTTTTTGTACCGTAAGATATACTACTGCCGTAATACTAGCGTGTACCTTGTACGTAACTCGACGTACTGAAATGAATCCTGATGGCTGAGGCGTCTCTCTGATTAATAATATCTTCTCTTTAATTAAGAGACTGCTGAATTACTTGATGAACATCTTACCTGGGACTTTCTTCTATATCCAGATAATAGGTGCATGCTACGACTTGTTTCAATATGAGTTACACAATTTCCTCATTATTTTGTTTACCCACAAGGAGACCTCTTTTCCGCACTCATTTTTGTCCTCGCTACTGATTTGCTCCAATCCATTTTCAATGAAGCTTTGGACAACAATTTGATAGGTTTGCCCATTATCACTAAGAATAACAGAGATTTCCTTATAATCCAGTATGCAGATGACACCATTATTATCTTGCATGCATGTCCCTTGCAAATTCAACAAGTTCAGAACATATTGATGCATTTTCGGGTTTACACAGGTCTCAGGGTCAACTACAACAAATCCATGATGGTTCCCATGAATGTACCTGCTCATAAAATCAAGCAACTCTCAGCTATTTTAGGTTGTGCCCACAGTAGTTTTCCCTTTACTTACCTTGGACTTCCTCTTGGCATTTCTAAACCCAAGGTTGAAGATTTTGAAAAGGATTGGATCTAGACTTGCTGGTTGCTCCACAATGCTTTCCTAGGGAGAGAAACTCATTCTTGTGAAATCTGCTTTCACTAGCCTACCTACTTCCTTCATGAGCAGTTTAGACCTCCCCATAGGAGTTGTTGGCCATATTAATAAATACTTGAGACATTGCTTTTGGAGGAAATATGGGATGGACGACAGACGTACTTCTCTTATATTCTTGGGATAAAATTTGCCTTGCTAAGGAAGCTGGTGGACTTGGAGTTCTTGATGTGCAAACTCAGAACAAAGCTTTGTTGATGAAAGATCTGCATAATTTTTTCAATAGTTCTGACCTCCCTTGGGTGGACCTTATGTGGAGCTCCTACTATACTTCTACCCCCTCCTCATGTCACACATGTTGGTTCCTTCTGGTGGAAGTTTATTCTCAAATTAATCCCTGATTTTAAAGCCATCTCTTCCTGCAGCATGGGGCAAGGGAACTATGTTCTTCTGTTATTTGATAATTGGGATGGTAACAGATTCATTGATAGATTCCCTGAGCTTCATTCTTTTGTTGTGAATGACCAATTCTCAATTGAGCAAGCATTGCACATCAACCCTCCAGAGGATCTATTCCATAGGCCACTCTCCACCCAAACTTTTCAGCAGTTCCAGGGTTCCCAAAACTTTATGAATAATATTCAGTTTTCTGGCTCCAAAGACAAATGGTCTTACATCTGGGGATCTTCTCAGTCCTCTATTGCAAAGGTTTACAAAACCTTGAGGGTTAAACCACCTACACCACCTCTCTTCAACCTGTTATGGAAGAGCTCAGTAATCCTTTGATATAAGATTTTCTTCTGGTTTCTCCTTCATGATAGACTGAATTCAAGAGAGCTTCTACAAAGAAAATCCTTGTGGCTACCCAATTATGATTGTGGAATGTGTGACACTAAATCCTTGGAAACTGCTTTTCACTTGTTTTGGAACTGCCCTTTTTCTATTCAATGTTGGGAGACCTCGATTCCGCAGATATTGAGGAACAACTCAGTTTACACATATATCCAACTAGCGGTGCCCCCCCCCCTCCTGATTTGGCCCTGGACATCATAATTATGGCTTCATGGAATATATGGATTCAAAGAAACAATGCAATGTTCAACAATACCACACACAGTGTGGCCTCCTGGAAAATATTGCTTAGAAGAGATCTCCAAATTCTGGCTCACAGAAGACAACAAAGTAGCAAGACTGCAAGCCTGGATTAAAGTTAACCTTTAATTTCTCATGTTGCCAAAAGGTGGGATTGGTTGAGTTGTATTTTCTTTTTTCTGTTTGTACATACTTTTATTATTAATGAAAATTTAACCATACAACTATTGTTCTATGATCAGTGCCTAAAAAATGTTTGAGGCTAGCAGAATGTTTGTTTACATGGTCCTCATTTTTTTATGAAAAGGGATAATATGTTTGTAAGATCGTGAATGTCACCTAGAGGGGGGTGAATAGGCGCTTTAAAATAATTACGGTTTAGGCTTGAACAAATGTGGAATAAAACTAGCGTTTAATTTGTCAAGCACAAAACCTAAAACAACTAGGCTCACCTGTGTGCACTAACAACTTATGCTAAGCAAGATAAACAACTAAGTGATAGAAAGATATATAACATGTCATATTATGGCTATCACAAAGTAAAGTGCATAAGTAAAGGGCTTGGGTAAGAGATAACTGAGGCACACGAAGACGATGATGTATCCCGAAATTCACACCCTTGCGGATGCTAATATCCGTTTGGAGCGGTATGGAGGCACAATTGTTGGGGAACGTAGTAATTTCAAAAAAATTCCTACGCACACGCAAGATCATGGTGATGCATAGCAACGAGAGGGAAGAGTGTTGTCCATGTACCCTCGTAGACCGAAAGCGGAAGCGTTAAAACAACGCGGTTGATGTAGTCGTACGTCTTCACGGCCCGACCGATCAAGCACCGAAACTACGACACCTCCGAGTTCTAGCACACGTTCAGCTCGATGACGTCCCTCGAACTCCGATCCAGCCGAGTGTCAAGGGAGAGTTCCGTCAGCACGACAGCGTGGTGACGATCTTGATGTTCTACCGTCGCAGGGCTTCGCCTAAGCACCGCTACAATATTATCGAGGAGGACTATGGTGGAGGGGGGCACCGCACACGGCTAAGAGATCAAGAGATCAGTTGTTCTGTCTATGGGGTGCCCCCCTCCCCGTATATAAAGGTGTGGAGGAGGGGGCCGACCAAGGGGGTGGCGCGCCCTAGGGGGGAGTCCAACTCCCACCGGGAGTAGGACTTCCCCCTTTCCTATTAGGAGAGGGAGAGGGAAGGAAGAGGAAGGAGGGAGGAAGGAAAGGGGGGACCGGGCCCCCTCCCAATTCGGATTGGGCTTGGGGGGCGCCCCCTCCCTTGCTCCTTTCCCCTCCTTTCCACTAAGGCCCAATAAGGCCCATATACCTCCCGGGGGGTTCCGATAACCTCCCGGAGCTCCGGTATTGTCCCAATCTCACCCGGAACCTTTCCGATGTCCAAATATAGTCGTCCAGTATATCGATCTTTATGTCTCAACCATTTCGAGACTCCTCGCCATGTCCGTGATACACATCCGGGACTCCAAACAACCTTCGGTACATCAAAACTCATAAACTCATAATATAACTGTCATCGAAACCTTAAGCATGCGGACCCTACAGGTTCGAGAACTATGTAGACATGACTGAGACACGTTTCCGGTCAATAACCAATAGAGGAACCTGGATGTTCATATTGGCTCCTACATATTCTATGAAGATCTTTATCGGTCAAACCGCATAACAACATACGTTGTTCCCTTTGTCATCGGTATGTTACTTGCCCGAGATTCTATCGTCTGTATCTCAATACCTAGTTCAATCTCGTTACCGGCAAGTCTCTTTACTCGTTATGTAATGCATCATTCCGTAACTAACTCATTAGTTACATTGCTTGCAAGGCTTATAGTGATGTGCATTACCGAGAGGGCCCAGAGATACCTCTCCGACAATCGGAGTGACAAAACCTAATCTCGAAATACGCCACTCAACATGTACCTTTGGAGACACCTGTAGAGCTCTTTTATAATCACCCAGTTACGTTGTGACGTATGGTAGCACACAAAGTGTTCCTCCGGTAAACGGGAGTTGCATAATCTCATAGTTGTAGGAACATGTATAAGTCATGAAGAAAGCAATAGCAACATACTAAACGATCAAGTGCTAAGCTAACAGAATGGGTCAAGCCAATCACATCATTCTCGTAATGATGTGATCCCGTTAATCAAATGACAACTCATGTCTATGGCTAGGAAACACAACCATCTTTGATTCAATGAGCTAGTCAAGTAGAGGCATACTAGTGACATTATGTTTGTCTATGTATTCACACATGTATCAAGTTTCCGGTTAATACAATTCTAGCATGAATAATAAACATTTATCATGAAATAAGGAAATAAATAATGACTTAAATATTGCCTCTAGGGCATATTTCCTTCAGTCTCCCACTTGCACTAGAGTCAATAATCTAGTTCACACCGCAATGTGATTTAACACTAATATTCACATCTGTATGTGATTAATACCCATAGTTCACATCGTCATGTGATCAACACCCAAAGGGTTTCTAGAGTCAATAATCTAGTTCACATCCCTATGTGATTAACAACCAAAGAGTACTAAGGTATGATCATGTTTTACTCATGAGAGAAGTTTAGTCAACGGGTCTATCACATTCAGAGCCGTATGTATTTTGCAAATATTCTATGTCTACAATGATCTGTACGAAGCTACTCTAGCTAATTCCTCCCACTTTCAATATGTATCCAGATTGAGACTTAGAGTCATCTGGATTGGCGTAAAAGCTTGCATCATTGTAACCTTTTACGATGAGCCCTTTTATCACTTCCATTATCGAGAAATATTTC